AAAAAAAAAAATAGTATTTTTGCACCAGCAACATGATTCCTAAAGAGCTTTTAGCTCCAAACTAGTAATATCTTAAGACATTTTGAGGAAACTGGACAAGTGCAGGACAAAAGCAGAATTGGCAGGACTAACAAACTAGAGCATATGAATAATATTAGAGAGTCGTGTCCTTAAGAAAACTCTTAAGTTCAAAGTTTTACACAGAATACTGACCAAAGCGGAGCCAGGGGGAAAGCTGGCTCAGGGCGGGAGCGTTCGGGTCGTTGCGTTGGCTGCCAAACAGTTTAAGTCGTACATCAATGAAGGACTCCAGCATGTCCATCCCTGCTTTGGTGCCCGGCTTGGCCCATTCTGGCTCTTTTACATTTCTGTCAACATCCAGGGAGGCTAGGGTTTTGTCCCAGTCTACTCCCTGTGAGGTAAAGAAGCGAGAAAGGAGAAAAGATCAGTCACTGCTGAGAGGGATGAGTTTAAATATATACAGTGGTGCTACAGAGATCTGACAACTTCAAAAGCAAAGGAGAAAGTTTTTTTTTTTTATCCAGCTAGAAAAATATCAAGTGGGGGGGGGTCAAACCGTGTGTAGCATATCAATCTCAACCCTGGAGCAAAAGCACATACCCCTGCAGCTTTAATAACTACTACAAGGGGAAAGAACTTTTGGACAGTTAAAAAAAAATTCCAGTTTATACCGAGTCATCAATAAATAATGTGTGGAAGTGAGGATCGAGTTGAAGGGTAAAAGTGTGTGCTTTCTGGCAGCAGCTCGACTTCCAGGCTCCCCGTCGATGAGCCTCCCTGACAGCTTACTTGCCTCGCAATTGATTTTAGAACAACAACCCCAAAGCAATGAATAATTTCATGACCTCTAGAAGATAAATTGTAATTGTTTCTCAACTGATCCAAGAGTCTTTGAACTTACCATAAATTATAAATACGCCGCTTTTATCCTCAGTACATTCAACATTTATTCACTTCACTGTTTCTCGAGCACTTACTTTGGCGGTTCTCGTAGCAGTGTGGGGGTGTGCGTCCACCAGGGGAAAATCAGTGAGGAACTCTGATAACAGATTGGTAATTTTTCCTCTGATCGTCCGAGCGGAGTACTCCTGTTTAGGTGAAGCTACCCAGCAGGGAACAATATTGTGAGCATCAACCTATAAAAGGAAAATAGAGTGTTCAAGAAATAATGATAGGAAAAACAAAGTCAATACGCATGAAATGAGAATGAGGTCTGCTGCATCAGTTTTCATACCTATTACTTTGGAATCAGGGGAACAAATAAAGAGAGACAACAGCCTGGGGACAGACAATAACCAGGATACAGAGCATCCTATCAGCACACACCTCCTGCAAATTGGATCTCAAAAAGTGAGGGGTTTTTCATACCTGTATGAAGGGAATGTCTTTGGGAAGTTTCTTTTTGACGTCCTCCAACCACTGCAGCGGTTCTCTGATAGGAGAGAAGTCAGTCACCACGGCCCCAAAGCTGTGGTCGGACACAAAGCCGGGGAGAACCTTCCCCGGAGCGCCGTGCAGCAAGTGGAACTGGATGTTTAACTGTTCACATTCCTGTTATATGGGCAGAAGAGAAAGAGTGAGGCTGGTTCACTGATGATGTACCTGCAACTACAACTAGACTCAAACAAGAGCGATTCCTCTGGTCTGGTGTAGTACTGCACAACTAATGTAC